GGAATATCTCCGGACGACGCGGAAATTCAAGCAAGCGTCAACCTGGATTGTACTGAGTTAGACTCGGCAGAGAAATTGAACTCATTCGTTGGAACAGAGGAGTACGTGGCGCCAGAAATCGTATCAGGTAAAGGTCACGATTTTGCCGTTGATTGGTGGTCACTGGGGATCGTCCTCCACGAAATGCTGTATGGAACGACGCCGTTTAAGGGATCGAACAGAAAGGAAACGTTTCACCAGATTTTAACGAAACCGGCGGAACTCGTGGGCGAACGGACGTCGTTAAGGCACTTGATAAGAAAATTATTAGAAAAGGATCCAAAGCAAAGGATCACGGTGGAAGGAATCAAGGAGCACGATTATTTTAAGGGAATCGATTGGGATCTGATACTGCGAATCCAACGGCCACCATATATTCCCGCACATTTAGTGGAGGAGGAGATTACAGTGGCGGACAAGGATGGAATAAAAGGACTCGATGTGGAGTTATTCGTTCGAGAGATATTCGCAAACGGCGATGAAGGCGACGGTGGTGAGAAGAACAATAAAGGTAAAGACGGTGAGAACGATTCAGGGAATTTAAACAAAAATGAATGCAAATTCCATCGTCCTGAAGATGATCAATTCTCTGTTTTCTAACTTGTGTTACAACGTTAATCATAATTTTTTTTCATCTTCTTTTAATTATAATATAGATTACTATGTGATATCAATTGAATTATATATATATTCATATTTTTGTATATGCTATATTTGTTTATGTTCCTGCTCAAGTACGGCGAACCCAGTAATAATCTTCTTAACAGATACCGTAAGAGGAGCTTCGTATCATTCTCTACTGTTTGTGAACGTCATTGCTGATGTCACGTTACTGGTTACTTTGATTTAATTGACTGAATAAATAAAAGTAAGAATTCTGATGGGTAAATATTATTTTATTTTAAAATAAAACTCGAGGGTTTTCCTAAAATATTTAAAAAAAACGTGCGAATCACACATAACAATCTTCTGGCGCCAATCCACCGGGATTATGCTCTGCTCTATTGGCTGAAGCCTTGGAATATGAAAATTTGTCTTCAATCTGATTTCAGAATACTTATAATACAGTGTTTTTTTAATTGAATAAGAATCCCGTACTGTCTTTACTGAAGAATAAGATCGTCCATTCTTGTTTAGTATTTAATGTATTATGTATAGATATCGTGAAAAGGAAAACATGATGATGGTCTTTTATTTTTGTCACACCGCATGGTGAAAGAAAGGTGGGGGATGGCGCGTGTCTAGGGTTCCCTGATTCAAGAAAGGCACATTGAATGTGTTATGGTCAAGTCAAGTTGTGGAATCATTTTGGTGGTGTAAAATGAGGTCCAAATAATATATCAACAACAACCCACGTGCTATATGTCTCCATGAATCTTGCCTCAGCCACCCCACATTTCCTTTCTAATCAAATTGAAACCGGAAGAAATGTATGTTTTGGAAATTTCTAGATAACACCAATTTTTTTTCCACATATAAAACTAACTGTGTTAGTAAAAAACATGTCGTATTAGATAGTTTATTAAAATATAAATATCAGATATTATACGCAGATAAACTTCCGTCAGATATATTTATAGTTCTGATCCCAAACCTACCTCTTGTATTGAGTCCAAACTCCCTCATTTTGATAGCTTGACGCTATATATTTAGAGGTTAGTGAATAGTGATTTAAAATTCCAGAGGTCTTGGCAGCAGATGTCGAGCAATAGGTCAAATACAAACCCCAGGCTGGTCCAACATATAGTTACCAAATTTGATCAAATAGTGTAAGAGAAAATTCATATAAAAAACAGAAAGGGTCATGAAATCCCAGCATGTTGCTCGGCAAACCCCAAGTCCTAACAAGAGGGATGGAAACCGTTATCAAACTCACCGAAATGTACACCTCCGATCATTGAAAACATTCGTGACGATCCTTCAAAAAAATTGCTCAAACTATATATATATTTTTTTTCATTTACATGCCTAAATTATTTTTTGGTCAATCTAGGTGCATAACATTTTCAACATTATACTTTAAGATGCTTGAATCATTTCCACCATTAAATCTTGCCTTTAATTGACACATGTCACTTTTATAAAATTTTAAAATTTGTATAAACAATAAAAATTTTAAAATTACATGAACGTGACATGTGTCACTTAATAGCGAAATTTAACACATGTTACAGTCGAGACACCTAAAAGTGTAATGTTGAATTAATTGAGAAAACATTAAGCACCTAAATGGGGAAAACATTGTAATTTGAACACTTACTTTTATATTAAGTCAAAAAAAATCCAACACCATCTTTAACCAAACAAAAAAAAAAAAAAACAATGAAAACTAAATAATAACATAAAAATCATACAATGTAGAATAATTTAATTTAATGTTCATGATTTGAATCTCACCACCCATGTAATGTACTGAATACCAAATAATCCGACTTCGTTATATCTTCTTAAGGGGCGACCAACTACCCTTAGAAACTGGCCATCTCTATGACTTGGACCTTACTTAAACCCGTGACTTCAATATCTTGTAGTAGAAATAAGTTAAGCACACAAGGAATTATAGGTTGGGCACCTAACTCACTAATAAATTGATGTATTAAGAGTATGTTTGTTTGATTGTAATTAGTTTTCTGGAAATTGAATTTTAAAAAATGAATTACTGAAATTTGAATTATGAAAAATGAATTACTGAAATTTGAATTCTGGAAAATGAATTACATTTATGGAAAACGTTTTCCGTAAAATGAATTACATTTATGGAAAACGTTTTCCGTAGAATGAATTACATTTTTCTGGAAAACATCTGAAAAACGTTTTACGATGTTTGGAAGATGTTGTTTAAACATTTTTTCTACTAATTGATGAGTTTTTTAAAAATTGCTTATTATAATTATTAAATACAATAAATAATATTATTTATCATAAAACTTAATATTATTATTTTTAAAATATTAAAATAATTTATTTATTATTAAATATTATTTTTATAATTTTATTAATAAAAATATTAATATTGGTATATTTTATTGAAATAAAAATATTATAAATTATATTAATTATTTATTAAAGTAATAGTGTTATATTTTATTTTAAAAATATTAATTAGTATATTTATATATCCTTATTAAAATATTATTAGATTATTATATTAATATTAATATATAAATAATATTATTCATTATTAATAATTTAATAATATTATTTCTATGAAATTAATAAATAATATAAATTTTATTAATAACTTATTATATATTATTAAAATAAAAATATAATATCTTATATTATTATAATATAATTGATTACTTTATTATAATATTAAAATAATATAAATTATTAGAAATATTAATAAATATATTTAAATATTTTAATAATTAATATTTTGATTAAAATGATATTAAAATATTTTATTAATATTAAATTTATAAAATAAAATTATTTTGAGTATTTATTCTTTGAAGTGAAAAGTTCGGAAAATGATTTACGAAAAATCAGACTGTAAGTCATTTTCCAGAAAACACAAAGGAAATTCTGTTAACCAAGAAATTTTTTTACGTTGACCAACCAGTTTTTCTCAAACCAAACACTGAAAAACATTTTCCTGATTTTAAGACAGTATATTAAGAGACCGTAATTGGTTTTCCCCCAAACAAAGAGACCCTAAATGATTTTAAGAGCATTTGCTTTTCTTTTCTATTTTAAAAAAATAGTTTTTAGTTATAATTTTAAGACAGTATATTAAGAAACATCCCAGATAACTTCGATTTTCTTCAAAAAAAAAATGTCGATTGGAGATGAATTGGAGAAGTAATGAATTAACAATAATAGTCTGTTTGTTTGGGGGAAAACCAATTACGGAATTGGTTTTCCCCGAAATACAGTGTTTGTTTCACGTAACTCGTTTTTCGAAAAATATTTTCCCTTGTTTGCTTCACATAATTCGTTTCCCGAAAAATATTTTTCAATGTTTGGTTGGAAGAAAACTGGTTTGTCAACGTAAAACATTTTCTTAATCAACAGAATTTCATGTGTTTTCTGGAAAATGACTTACGGTCTGATTTTCCGTAAGTCATTTTCCGAACTTTTCACTTCAAAAATTAAATACTCAAAATAATTTTAGTTTATTAATTTAATATTAATAAAAATTTAATATCATTTTAATCAAAATATTAATTATTAAAAATATTTAAAAATATATTAATATTTCTAATAATATAAAATATTATAATAAATAATCAATTATATTATAATAATATAAGATATATTTTTATTTTAATAATATATAATAAGTTATTAATAAAATTATATTATTTATTAATTTCATAAAAATAATATATTTATATATTAATATTAATATAATAATCTAATAATATCTTTAATATACTAATTAATATTTTAAAATATAATAACACTATTACTTTAATAAATAATTAATATAATTTATAATATTTTTATTTCAATAAAACATACCAATATTAATATTTTTATTAATAAAATTATAAAATATTTAATAATAAATAAATTATTTTAATATTTTAAAAATAATAATATTAAATTTTATGATAAATAATATTATTTATTTTATTAAATATTTATGATAAATAATTTTAAAAAAACTCATCAACAAGTGAAAAAAATATTTAAACATCTTCCAAAAATCGTAAAACGTTATCCAGATGTTTTTCAAAAAAACATAATTCATTTTACAAAAAACATTTTTCGGAAAACGTTTACTAAAAATATAATTTATTTTTCAAAATTTAAATTTCAGTATTTTATTTTCCAGAATTCAATTTTCATAAAATCAATTAAAACCAAACAAACGGACCTAATGGTCATTACATTTAATGCAAATGCAGCGGTTAACTACCACGGTACTTATAAACTTTATATCTTGACAATGATATATGGCTTAAATCTCTAATGAATTAAGATGTGTGGCCGATTGATTCACTTATCTGTTACCCTCAATTCAATCTTTCTAATCTGTTCAAGACATTATTTCTGCATCCATAACAAAGCATGTGCTCTAAGCGGTTTTCTAGTTCCAACTATACCCCTACCTTCTTTAATGGATGGTGGGTGTCTTAATAGTGAAATAAAAACATGAAATTAAAGAAAGAAAGAAAAAACAAACCATTTGATCCAAATTTCCTCAAGTTACTAAACGATCAAATATCGTACTGAAAAGCAAAACCAACATTCAAGATCGATATACCATTCACTCATCCTCTTGGCTGCGCAGCCTAGCCAATTTATTTGTCACAACAACATCCAACTGCGCTGCTCGCTCAACAATTACCTTCCTCTTCTTTGTCGAAACGTCATGGGCTATCTCAGCACAGTATGTTCTGATAATGTATCAACAGTACAAAACAAGCAAGAAAATGTTAATCTACAAAATGTGGTAGTAAGAGATAATAAATGATGCACACCGTACCTATTGTGCATCATGAGAAGCTCAAGCTCTTGGACATTATGGACAATAAACTTCTTAAACCCATTGGGAAGATAGTGACGAGTCTTCTTGTCTGAGCCATAACCGATATTTGGCATAAGAGTGCATCCCTTGAACTTCCTTCTAACACGGGAGTCAATACCCTTGGGCCTTCGCCAGTTTCCTGCCATAACACAAAACTTATTAAAATTATTGCAAGTGAGACTGTATTTTTTTTATCTAATCAAGACACCAATTATCCTTGACATATGAAATGTTGTAATATACAGATTTCAAGACCATGGGGCATGACATACAAGTTAGACATAAGGATTAATGAAATAGAGACCTTAGCTTCAGCATTAGATTGAGATAACTCACATGAAAAATACTTCATAATACAATTCAGTTATTACAAAGAAGAAATATTCAGAGGCTCGGATAAGATGTCCAGCTGTTATAAAGTTTCAGCATGCGTACTTCAACAATTTCAGCCATGAAATTCTAGTTAGGCTTCACTTCCTGATTTGTGCATTTTTTTATCACAGGGGTGATAAATAAAATACCTTCTTCTATTTGGAAACAAGACAAAACGTGATATGTTGGTCAAACATGAACCAACAAACAAAACTTTGTATGAGACTAGGGCCATAGGGTATTAAAACCAACATCTAGAAGATGTGTTACACTGCTTTGTAAATATCATTTGACTCCCTCATCATCACCATGATCAAACAAAACTTTTGATTCAGCCGTTGCATTATGAAATTAGCATGCAAAACAAAGGAAGGAGTCCACATCTAATCTTCATAACTTAAAAAAAAACTCAAAGATTGAAGCAATGCAAGACTCTTAAACCACCTCAAGCATGGAATATTCTAGCAAATTCCTCGTGCTGGATTCCTCCTCCTTCAGGTTTTGTTAAATTAAATGTTGACGGTGCGACGTCTAAGGGGTGGGATAAAGGAGGCATAGGTGGTCTGATAAGGGATTCTGAAGGTCTGCAGCTCGGTTCGTTTTCTGAGAGGATTGGGGGTGGCCCTCCTATTCTTGCAGAGTTACTGGCTATCAAAAGAGGGCTGCTGTATATGGAGGAGATAGTTTTGGTTTCAATTCCAAGGGTCATCCTTGAATTGGATTCCCTTACTGCTCTGAAATGGATAAAAAATCCGGCTTTATGTACACCTATGTTTCAGTCCTTGGTGAAAGACATTGCTGCTCTAGTGGAGTGTAAAGATGTAATTATTAAGCATATCTTGAGAGCGGCTAATTGGGAATCGGACAAATTAGCTAAAGAAGGAATATGTTGATTATTAGGGTATTGTTTAGGTTGTTCTGTTTCTGAGTTGGTTTTATTTCTGTTGTTTGTTTGGTTTTTAAGTGTTATGTTGTATCAGAAGCTTGTTAGGATCTGGCTTTGTATTATTCTTATATTAATAAATTATTAGGCACTCTTTTCCTCCTTCCAATGACCTTCATGTTACTGTTGTAACATGGAGGTTATGAAGGGGGTTTTTAATTAGGCCTACCCTATTTCTATCCAAAAAAAAATCTAGCAAAAAGCATACTAATCCCCATTCCCTTGTTCAAGCACATATGAATGAACGGAATTAAATCTCTCAAATGATTGCAAGTCCAGTTACCGATCATTACAATAAAGAAAACCTTTACATGATAATCAGCTTAAGGTAAGCATAAAAGATCAACTCAGCTGTTAAATTACTAACGTATTTCCAAGTTAACATTATCATAGACCTGCACTTAGTAACAAGTCCTAAATCACAAATTTGAAGTAACAAATCCGGAAAATATAGATTAAACACAATGCAAGGCCCATAAGAAAGCAGATTTAAAAAAAACCTTGACGGAGATCTTGCGGTCACTTTGAGGCCTCTTGAACTTCTTGACACGCTTCTTCACAATCTTCTTGGACAGCAAGGGGACTGCCATTTTCCTTAAAAAAAACAAAGTCCGATGGAGAAATCAGATTAAGATTCGGGAAAATAAATTATCGCAATACAACAAATTAAATTGAGAAAAACCTAAAATTACAGAAATGTAAAAGAGTTACCTTGTGGAAACAATGGACGCCGCTTGTGGAAACACTGAAGTGGAAGGGGAGGGAGTTAGGGTTTCAAACGGGAATTTGGCGTTATATAATTGGGAGAGGAGGATGGACCTGGTGTTGGGTTACAGAGTATTTTATTGGGTTGCATCAAAGCCCATTTGACCTTAAATAATTTCACAAGATTACTATTTGATATTATCACTAAAATATTTCAAAACGATATTTTTTCTAGTCATAGGATGAGTAAATGATCAAGTGCAGTGAACTTCACAAGGTTAAACCTATTGCATGTATATAACATCCAGAATCTAACACCTTTTCATATTAAAAGACGAGTTTATTAATAAATTTCAAAACAATAAATTAATCACGAACTAATAGTTAAGGCAATATGTTTATTGTCTTGGATTTGGTTAGAGATTTTTTTTTTCATTTCTAACCAATTCGGTTCACCCTAAATTCAATGTAAAATATTAAAACATAATATATATTCTTAAAATTGTATTAGCGAATGAATTTAGACTTTATTAAAAATTGGACAGCAATACATGTAGACCTAATTTATATAAATTGTATTAATGTTAAACTTTGGATACAGTTAATAATGTTGTACTCATATTTCCTAACTAATAAATTAAGAATGGTGCCTAACTAATAAAATTATTTTTTATTCATGATTTTCGAATTTAAAATACATTAAATAGTAAAAAAAAATATTATTTCCCCTAAATTATCTAGGTTTATACATCTACGGTTTTTTTGTGTGCAAAATGTGTGCGATGTTATTAATCTAAAGAAATTATAATTAAATACTATATTGTAATCACTTTATATAATTAGAAAAATGCATTAAATTCGTCACAATTTGATATTTCCTATTATTAAATCCGTGCAATTCTTCACTCGGCAACCTCCCTTCCTTCAGCCTTTCTCCATTTCCACAAAAAGGGTTTTCAGTCCTTGAGAGATACTCAATATCCCAATCCTGCAATTATATATTCATGGTAAGCTCGAAAAAAAATTCATAAGGGAAGAGCACTCATAGGAGGGCTAAACTTGGTAAACCTAGAATCTTATGGAAAAACTTATACGGAGCGACAGCTAATGACTTTAGGAGTAAGGTTTTATCTTCTACAAGTTTTGGAACTACAAGCTCAAATAATGCAGATATGTTATGGAAAAATATGGTAAATTCCATCAGAGAGGTGGGCACAAACACCCGTGGGTGGTCGACAGGGAAGGTCAAGGAACATAAAGAATCTTGGTGGTGGAACGACGAAATTCAAACTAAGGTGAAGACAAAGCAAACTTGCTTCAAGGAGTTCATACAATGCAATGACGACGAAGAAAGATCGAGAGCTAAACAAAGATACAAGGAGGCAAACCGGGAAGCCAAAGAAAACAGTAGCTAAAGCAAAGGATAAGGCATATGAAGTAATGTACAAGAGATTAGACACCAAGGAAAGACAAAACGGCATCTTCAGGCTTGCAAAATCCAGGGAAAATAGGAAAAATGATCTAGGTAACATTAGGTTTATTAAGGACAACAATGGTATTCTTTTAGTGAAAGATAATGATATTAAGAGGGTTTGGGGTAGTTACTTCCTTGGCTTATTTAATGACGGTGCCCCCTCCCTGTAGAGATAGTATCGTTGATGGGTCAGCCGACCATCATACTGCGGCTAATGACTACCCTACAAGTAGGATTGAGTTTGAGGAAGTCAAAATGGCTCTTAGAAAGATGGGGAGGGACAAAGCTGTCGGACCGGATCAGATTCCTATCACTGTGTGGTTGGCCCTAGGAGAAGAGGGAGTTAAGTGGTTGACAAACATCTTTAATATTATTTTAGAGACTTCCAAGATGCCAGTGGAGTGGAGAGAGTCTACGGTGATTCCAATCTATAAGAATAAAGGAGATCCCCAACGTTGTGGCAACTACAGAGGTATTAAACTACTCAGTCATACCATGAAGCTATGGGAAAGGGTGATAGAGGCTAGGTTGAGACAAGTTACTAGGGTTTCGGAAAACCAATTTGGCTTTATGCCAGGCAGGTCTACTACGGAGGCGATTCATTTACTTCGACGGCTTATGGAGAAATATAAGGAAAAAATAGAGATCTTCACATGGCGTTCATTGACCTTGAAAAGGCGTATGATAGCGTTCCACGCGATACGATCTGGAGGACCTTGGAAACGAGACGGATCCCAACTGCTTATATCCAGGCGATTCGTGATATGTACTGCAGATCTACTACTTATGTCAGGACTACAGTTGGCGACACCGAGGCATTCCCAGTGGAAATCAGACTCCACCAGGGGTCGGCTCTTAGCCCTTACATCTTTGCCTTGATTATGGACGACATCTATTCTGCGACACCAAACGGTGTTCCATGGTGTATGCTTTTCGCTGACGACATTGTCCTAGTAGCTGAAACATAAACTGAGTTGAATATAAGACTGGTTGCCTGGAAGACTGCTTTGGAAGAAAAGGTCTAAAGATCAATATTGAAAAGACAGAGTATTTATGCTCAAACTTCAGTGGGAACCAAAACGATGATGATGTAGAAGTATATATAGGAGGACACGTGATCCCCTTAAAGGAATGTTTTAAGTACTTAGGGTCTATGATACATAAAGATGGGGGTGTAGATGATGACGCTACACATCGTATAAAGGCGAGATGGTTAAAGTGGAGGACTGCTACTGGAGTTTTGTGTGACAAGAATGTGCCTTTAAAACTTAAGGGAAAATTTTATAGAATGTCAATAAGACCAGCGCTGCTATATGGATCAGAATGTTGGACAATCAATAAGGATCACGTAAGGAGGATGGAGGCCGCAGAAATGAGAATGCTTCGATGGACATGTGGTAGGACTCTGTGGGACATGACACCAAACTCTGCTATTAGGATGTCCTTGGGGTGGTATTTGTATCCGAAAAATTAAGGGAGGAAAGACTACGGTGGTTTGAGCATGTCCATAGGCGACAACTATCGGATGCGGTCAGGAGGGTTAAGTCAATTACAGTTGACGGTGCCAGAAGGAGAGGACGACCAAGGCGGAAGTGGGAAGACTGCTTGAGATCTGATTTGAAGGATTTAGCCATTACCGAGGACATGACCTCTGATAGGAAAGTATGGAGACTTAAGACCAGGGTAGCCGAGTAGTGTGGGTCACAAATATAGGGTGTAACATATCTGTCTTCATTTTAATGCCTTTGTAATAATTTCCATGACTTCTACTTTATATACATGTCTATTATTATAATTTATGAAGGCTTAGAACTAGGGTAGCGGATTAGTGTTGCCTCAGTTTATGTTTTAACCCATTTGACTTTATTTCTTCTCGCAGCTTTCTATCGTTTGACCATTGTGTATCATTCTCTTCAGGTTTCCTCTTTTTATATTTAGTCGGATCTTACGTTTCTGTCTATATGCAGAGATTTTTACGCAGGGATTTATTTGCAGGGATTACTCCCCATTACAGACGAGCATATTGAAGACTACATAGGAAGACTTTTCAACTATGTATTTAGTTATTTATTTATTTATACATGCATTGTATTTTATCTTTATTTTTAATTTTCTTCCTGCCAGAGATCTTCCACGGAAACTGCTCTCAAACCTGGCGTTGGGGGCAGCCTACTACCCTACCTCCTCTTACCCCATTACATATGGGAATAGGGTTTTATTGTTGTTGATATTAATGTCTTGATTTGATTCATTGTATTTGAAGATGATTTCACATAAGTTCTATGCCAACGAAAACGGTGTCGCTAATATGATAACAGGCTGAAGAAATGGCGATTGAAAACGGAGAGTTCGAGGAAATCCTTTACGCCTAGTTATTGGTATATACACTTTCGCTTATGTTAATGCTTCATTTTGATGATGAAATTGAAGTAAACTCCAAAGGATTTTTGATACAGGGACTCATCCTGCTGACGATTCAAGCTCAAAACAGCCGATTGTTGCCGGCTATAAATAACAAGCCTTCGAAGACCCAAGAGGCAATCCTTTAGGCCGACCTTTACACGATAGCTGCCGGTGTTGGTGGCGTTAAGGCTGCCTTGCCTTCTCATAGTGCTGATCAGCTTAACCACAGCAACCAGCGTCTTATCTCTTCCTTCTTCAATTGGTTCTTCTTTTCACTATGTTTAGGTCGCCTCATTGCCTCCACTGTCATGATCTGGATCGAAGAAAACTTGGGCTGAAATTGGAGTTTCAAGATATCCCTGGTGACACCAAATGTTGCACTCTGCATTTTTGCAATGGGGTTCCCAATTTATCGATACAAACACCCCGGTGGAAGCCCATTGACAAGAATTTATAAGGTAAAAGAGCAACAAATTTTCATCCAATGCGTTAGCATTCTAGTTTTGTCGATACAGGAAAACATCACTACCGAGGCAGAGAATACTCGAATTTATGATGAAAAGAGAAACCATGATAAGCTCATGTTCCTAAACAATGCATTGATCGACGACTCCGTTACGGCCACCGAGGTCGAAGAAACAAAGACATTAATAGGCCTCCTCCCCATATTTGCAAGCACCATTATGATGAACTGCTGCCTAGCTCAATTGACGACATTCTCAGTGCAACAAGGGAACATCATGGATAAATCACTTAACAATTTCAACATCCCAACTCAGTCATTATCAGTGCTTCCTTTATTCATCATGTTAGCTTCCATACCCATATATGAATATTTCACACGCTTATTCCGACTAAAAATCACCAACCATCCTAAAATGCTCAACATGTTCCAACCACTGTGGTGGATCGGTGTAGGGCTTGCTCTTGCATCGGGGTCGATGGCTGCCACCGCTATAGTCGAGGCTAAGAGGCACGAGACGGCACGTAACGGTGTGATCTTATCCATTTTCTGGCTTGGGTGGCAGTACTTGCTCCTCGGTGTGTCGGATATGTTGACGCTCAGAGGAATGCTTGAATTCTTCTACTCGGAGGCTCCGGCAGCATGCGGAGTATGAGCATTGCATTATCTTGGTGCTCGACGTCGATGGGGTACTTTATCAGCTCGGTGCTGGTAACGGTATGCAACTCGGTGAGTGGACATTTTGGGAAAGAATGGCTGGGAGGAAAGGATCTGAACGTTAGACGTTTGGATCTGTATTACACCCTCCTTTGCATCCTTAATTTCGTTGAACTACATTTTATGGGCTAGAAGGTACTAAAAATTAGATATTGTTTGAACCATGCATAATCGGTAATGCTACATTTGTTAATGCTTGTTGTTCCAAGACTATGTATATGGCACGGCTAGAAGAAACAGAATCATACATGCTTGTTATTGTAAACAAAGAAGTATCATTATAATAAATGATGATTAGTTACAAATTAATTTTTAAAATTATACATATATAAATCAAAATCAAAGGGAGAGGATTGTAAATTTGACAATCCATTGGTAAAAATTAGGATGAAATTGAATGCATGATTAAGTTGGAAAGATGAATCCTCCCAAATCAATCAGTCAACTCATTGGCTTTGAAATTTATTTAAATATGATCAATTAATTTTGTTGTACGTATTAGTTTTTTGTTTTATACATAGTTGACCAGTAGCGTTACGCAAGGGAGTTCAGGAATCATGGCATGGAATTTCATCGCATTTATTGCTTTTGCTATACCTTGTTTTTAATATTTCCTGTGGAAAATGGTTTCCAAGTTGTAATTATATTTCAAATTATAAAATATTTTTTACAGTGTAAATTAAGTTATAAAATTTTGAAATATTATATATTTCAAATTATATTTTGAAATATTATATATTTCAAATTATATTTTGAAATACAATCTGGATCAAATTAAGATTAAATTTTACAACCAACCAAGCATAACTATTTTTAAAGCATTTTTTGTTTAAAATTAATTTTTTTAGATCTAAGAATTTTGTCTAAAACTTTACAAACAATAATGAACTAACAACCTTATTTTAATATAAAAACCCGACATTAAACATGCAACTAATCATAGACCGAATCAAAGCACGCTTAAACAAATATCATGCAACAAAATGGTTCACCTATAATGTGATCTACCTACGAACCCGAGTCGCAAATTTGCACCCAACGGCCAAAACAGAAGTCATCATTTGGGTACTCTCATTGGTGACAGATCCGACACGTTATCATTCCCCTAACTATTCTAAACATTGAAGCACCAGTAGCACGCATCACCCACGCGCTTTCCCCACTTCCCTCCCTCCTCCCAATTTATAATTTATTTTAGGGTAAACTACAAGAGTGATCACTTACATTTTGTATTTGTAAACTTTTGCTCGTCAAATTCAAAAAATACAAGTTTTTGTCACTGGGCATTGAATTTCGTTAGTTTAATGATGTGGCACATTAGTAAAAGGGTTTAGTTTTTATTTTAACCCCTACACTTTAGACAAACACAAATTATTAGCCCTTTTGTAGAATCTAAAATAATTTTGGGACAAAATTTCAATTCAACCCTTTAATATGCTTTTCCTTCGACCCCACTTGCATCGTACGCTGTTCATATTCTCCAGGTACCTTCATCAACATTTTCTCTTCTTGTTCTTGGGGAGCTTGCCTAGTTCCTTTTTTCCTTTTTTTTTCTTTTCGCATGCACTCCTCTTATTCTTGCTGTAATGGAAATTTTTAACGATTTTGCAGATTTATGTGCCAAGACTACAAATTGTGATTCAGGCCTTTATTGTGAGAACTGAAAAATGTCATGTTTTTAGCTAACATGGTGCAGGTTTGTTTCCTTTTTGGTAAGGGAACTCTTTTTCTTCCGTTTGTGTGTTTTATTTGGTGATTGGTTTTAAAAGTTCTGTGTGAATGTGTTTTCATTTGACTTTGTTATTCATAGGAGGGTAATGTTTTCACACACAGCGCCTTTGTAATATAACTTATGTTCCAATGGAAGATAAGAATCTACAACACTCAGGCACTCACCACTAGATGCAAGGAAAGTAGCAACCGAAACAATCCAGTGCGTTCAATCGACGACAGATAAGATGAACAGTGAGACACAAGTGAAATCGAAAAAAAGATAAATTGAAAGTTTTTTCCTAAACTAATTTAGATTTTACAACAGGTCCCATAATTGGTATTTGTCAAAGAAAAGTATATGTTTTCATGTCCAAGACTTAATAAAACTATAAGTGACCAAAACTTATATTTTTTAAATTTAGTGAGCAAAAGTTTACAAATACAAAAGATAAGTACACATTATTGTAGTTTATCCCTTTTTTTTATTATTCCTTGGTTCCTCTAAATGTGTCTATTTGGTTTTTAAAATTATCTCATTCAATATGTATTATTAAAAAAGTTAACAAATAACAATATTTATATTAATATTTTTATTCTTATATGTCTCACTCTTTTATACCTATTAAAATAAATATATCTCATAAAATTATATTAATAATCAACAAAGAACACAATTTACGGAATACAATTTTTTTCTCTTTCGAATGCGTGAATTCACGATATGGGATCTACTCGTAATAAATCAAATATCAAATTAATCCTTTAATAAAGCAATGACAATACAACCAATAATAACCCGCCACGTATTCAAAAGTAAGAATCCAACGTGACGTCCATCTATTGGCTTGTTATGAATCAAAGCCCGAATCAAGTTTCCACTTTTAGCGTCTTCCCTCCTTTATATATTCCAACAAAGCGGCACCATTCATTCGACCATTAGCAATAGCAAAAAGGGCGATTTTTTTGTTGAAAAAATGGGGTTTCATTTTCCACCATCTCTTCTTTTACTCGTTTGTCTTTGCACCACTCTAATCTCAGCCATACATGCAACCGATTGTTCATCGCTGAAACTCACCGGCGGCAAAAAGCAATACTCCAACTGTACCGTGCTACCGGCGCTGAACTCGACCCTACATTTCACCTACAATGCCACCAATTCTTCCCTTTCCATTGCCTTCACGGCGTCTCCTTCGAAACCCAAAGGTTGGATTGCTTGGGCCGTCAACCCAACAGCCACCGGTATGGCTGGTTCACAAACCCTTTTGGCCTTCAAAGCCAATGGATCCATGGTTGTTAAAACATACAACATAAGCTCCTACAGCTCCATCGTCGAAGGGAAGCTTTCGTTCGATGTTTGGGACTTGGAGGCCGAGTCCGACAAAGACGGGAAGATGGTCATATACGGTTCGTTGAAAGTTGAGGTCAGTGCCGAGAAGCTGAACCAGGTGTGGCAAGTTGGGCCGGGGATCGTCGATGGTCACCCGATGAAGCATGACTTTGATAAAGCCAATTTGGCTGCTGTGGGAGAGTTGCAGCTGGTGGAGAAACTGAGTCCGGCTGCCTCGTCTCCTTCACCTTCCCCGCAATCTGCTAATTCGAACTCGGGATATGGGATGAGTGTTACTGAAATAAATGCTGGATTTTGGATCTTGGGTTTGATTTCTTTGATAGCTTTTATGTGATTTTAACGATTTCAGTAATAAAAAAAGGGAACATAATGAATGATTTTAGCACGAAATATCTATTTATTTTATGACATTCTTTTATGTAATGGTTTATCTTGAGGTAAATTATTTTGAAATATTTATTTTTATTTTGTATGAAGATTCAAATTTGAATAATTGTGTATGTAGAATATGTTTGATATTATTAAAAAAATATTAATAAATATATTATATTCGGTATGGGATCAAACGGTTTACGAGTTCAACTTGACTACCTAAAGCGTGCTTAAGGGAAGGATGTTAGCTCCAAGTGTGGGCTTGTGGGGTTTGGGACGTTGTGGCTTTCTGGGGAGAACTTGCCTCACAAAAAAATAAGACCAAAATGGCAATTTGGATTAGTTTTCAATTCAAAAGTAATGCAGCAATAACTAAGCACGAACCATTGACTTGGGAAAATAGAAAACAGCCGCATTAATTTTAGGGAAACGTCATTAATGCACCTTTTCCGGCTTCAAATAGTAATCTAAGATTTTTTTTACAGTAAATCCTTGATTGAAGGGGATTGTTTTGAAATTAAGCACACTTGTGAAAACAATCTTTATTGGGAAATCAAATACAATATATTGTTGGCAATCCGTGGCTTTCCACATTTAGATTTTTTTTCATTCAAATGATATTTTGAGTGTTTAAAAAATCTTTAGCGGTTTTGATTTTCATGTAGTTAATTTCGGAATAGTCGATAGTGGTTTGACGTATTAGATGACGGTGCAACCATATCCCAAATTCCGACATAATATGTAGAGAATGACGGAATGTATTTACCATTTCCACTGTGTTTATGCTTGATATGTGGACACTAATGAGCTTTATTAGAAAATTAAGCTACTCCGATCCTTTGCAATATTTAACCATAATCACAATGATTTTATACTATTTAATAACTACGTATAAATCCAAGAAAGATTTTCCCATCCGTTTTTAATGGAACTTTGAGTATTATATTTTATATGGGTCTATTTGATAAAGAGGTTAAAATGAATGGCTTAGATTACTTTTAGAGTATTTATCCATCAAACTCATTAATTAATTTTTTATTTTTGCTTGAACCATAAATTAGCTAAAATGCATATTCATGCGGGCGATAATGGCAGCAATTGTGAATGGGGAACGTCAAAGTTAATTTATTATTTTTTGAAATTGATAAAAATGATACGAATAATTAAATCATCCTTGACATCACATCCTTTTATAAATAAAATAACCGATTTTTAAACAAATATATAAAAACACTAGTAAATAAATTTAATTGAAACTACTGAATTTCTGGGTCATGTCCATTGTACGTTTCCCAACAATGCCTATAGAGTTTAAATTAATTTCATTTTACCAATATATTCATTATCTGGCAATATGAGTATGTATATATAAGTTTGAAAAACTTAAATTCAAAGGCAAAATGGATACAATGCGTCCACCTTTTGCCTAATTAGCTTTCGATATAATGAATATTACTACTGTCAATAAGTCGTCGCTTAAGTGGTAGCGGCGGACTTTTGAAACTTTCATAAGCTCAATGAGTTGTACAATTAGAGTTGAAGTTCTGAGAATTCTAAGTGTTTAAGTTGTAAAATTTTGTTTGATTCGATAACATTATTTTTTAAAAA